CGTTCCCCATAGCGACCCCTAGAGGACGCAGTTCGAAGTTCCCATGAAAGGGAACGTCTCAGGTTACTTATGTAACCATGGTTCCCTGAGTAGGGAACGAGACACTGCGTCCTCTAGGTTTCTTGCCATGCTGCGGACGCAAGCTTCAGACGAAGAAGTGAATGATGTGTGCTCCCGGCGCCTATTTATACTATAGTCGCACCGGTAGTGACGTCATGGCTGTCGCCGGCCAACGAGTTGGTGTTTTTTCAATGTATGCTTCAGACACGGGTCACGATGAGGCGTTCCCCATAGCGACCCCTAGAGGACGCAGTTCGAAGTTCCCATGAAAGGGAACCATGGTTACATAAGTAACCTGAGACGTTTTATTTCCCCTCCTCTTCCTCTTTGTCTCGCACTAGTAGGATTCATTTTCCAAATCACATAATCAGCTGAGCTCTTGTTCATATCATCCTGACATTCTGAGCCGTGTGTCATCAGTTTTGCTGCTGAATGTTCACACATGCATAAATGTGTGCTGTTTGAGTTTATATTGTGATTCTTGAGGTAGTTATATTGTGAGTTTGTGTTTTCTAAATGAGAACATGGTTAAACCTGTGCAAAACGATGGTGTTCTTGTGTAGAGTTCAGTTGAAAACACAATTGGAGTGTGTGTGAAAACAGGTGAAATGTGTTAAAGGTTTTGAGAAACGTGTCTTTGTTTCAGGAACTGTATGAATGGTTTGGAAAACTGTGCCAAACGAATCAGTTATAATGCGTTAGCAATTGAGAAAAACTGTAAAAGCTGGTCTAACTGTATACACTGACTATTTTTAAATAATTTATTATTGCTTTTGTTATGAATGTATGTTTTTCTCTCTTGTTTATTACATGTGAAGTTTTGTGATAGCAGCTTTAACAGCCGTTACTGGACGGAGCAGAATTACACTACCTTTCAAAGACAAGCAGGGGTTTATTTAGCACCTAATGAGGCTTTCAGTGACCTGTGTCATGTTACGTTTCATTTTCATTCACTTTTTTCATTTAATTTATTTTTATTTATTTATTTTTTGGTGCATGAATATACCGTTCAATAGTTTGCAGTTCTGAAAAGTAGTCAAAAACACAGTAAAAACAGTGAAATATTATTACAATCTATAACAGTTGTTTTCTATGTGAATATCTGTTAAACTGTAATGTATTTCTGTGATGCGCAGCTGTATTTTCAGCATCATTACTGCAGTTTTCAGTGTCACATGATCTTCAGAAATCATTCTAATATGCTGATTTGCTGCTCAAGAAACATTTCTGATTATTATCAATGCTGAACACTGTTTGTCAGGGTTCACAGATGAACAGCGTGAGTTTGGATTTGTTCACAGTGAGCTCAGTTTTTGCAGCGAGCTGCGGGGGTTTTGTAGCTGTTCTCCTGAATTCACACCCTACAGTCTCAACATGCTGCACTTTTACACGTAGATTCACACACAGACAGGAAGCCGCTTGCTATTTTGGCTTGTTTTAAAACAAGGTTTGCAGTTTGTCACAGAGTCTCTGTGTGTGTGTGTGTGTTGTTGTTGTTCACAGGATCGTAGTGAGGAGTGTGTGTGTGTTTGATCTCAGACCAGTATAATATACGTGTGGGCGTGTTGCATTTGAGAAGAGCTATGTCTGTGTGTTTGAAGTACTGTGAAAGCATGTCGAACAAAACCAAATGCTGGTTGATTCCCTACTGGGTCTCCAGACGTAGTGAGTATAATAGTGCAGTGTGTGCAGTGCAGTGACCTTTGTTGTTCATTTGTGTTATACTGAAGAATTTACAACCTTCTGACAATTTCAGCTGTTCTGTCACAGTGATCCATCATAGCCATGAGCGCCTCTTTCTGAGCAACGTCCTCCTCTACTTAATCAAAGCGATAGTTCACCTAGGAATGAAAACTATGTCATTGCAAACCCATGTGACTTTCATTCATCTTCGAAACAAAATGTACCATTTTTGTGTCATCATTGTGATCAAAAGATGACGTAAGTTTAATTTTCAGTCACACACAAAAACCATCTCCACGCTTGTCACTGCTGTATGTGTGTGTGTCCATAAAATCAGTCAGGCTAAGCATATAGGCCTCATCCATCTAATTATTTATTCTTCATTCCCCTAACCCTTGGATGACTGGCATATAAAAAATGAATTGCATTGCAATAAGCTAAAATGCGCGATTTCCACAATACACAATGTTTCAAAGCAGCTTTACAAGAAAATCATGATATCAATGTTTATGCATTTACAGAATAGAGCCAGACGATTATAATGTTTACATTGGGAAATGCTATAAACCATCAACCAGATGAGATGCTATATGGTTGCTGCATAGTAAATATCACTTCATGTGAGTATACTGGTAAAGATGGATATATATGTACAAACAGTGGATAACACTTTATTTTGTCCACTTTAGACACGCTATTGACTGTAAGTAACTCAGCAACTAGCAGACATTAGAGTACTAGTTAGGACACAACCTCAGATTAACTTGCGTCGCATGTAGTTAGGACATGGTGTCAAAATAAAGCGTGACCAAAGAGTTAATCGAAGCATGATGCACGGAAAGCTAACAGGTGTTTGCGTGTGTGTTTCCACAGGACTGTGCTGCACTAACGTGTGCGGCCTGCTGAGCTGCGCAGGGTTGTGTTTCTCCAGCTGTGCCGGGTTTATTCATTTTAACAGTAAAATTTGGAATCAAAAATCATTCCGACACTTCGAGCTGAGCAGGTTTTGCTGAAGAGTTTTTCTTTAATTGCTAATGTGATCTTTTCACACCACAGACTGAACTAAATGAAGCAGCGCTACCATTTTCTAAACTATATTGAATAAACTGTGATAATTTGATAAAGCTGTCTGAATACATGTTGGTTTGGCTGTATATTCACAAGTCAAGTCACTTTTACGTATATAGCGCTTTCTAGAGTACAGATTGTGTCACAGCAGGTTTACAGTGTGAAACAGGAAAGTGTGCCAGACACTACCAGTGTTGGGAAGGTTACTTTGGAAATGTAATAGGTTACAGATTACAAGTTACCCTATTTAAAATGTAATAGTAGTGTAACTTTTTCAATTACTTTATTAAAGTAATGTAACTGATTACTTTTGATTACTTTTTGATTACTTTTCAAAATTTCTAATGAATGTTTATTTGCAACTGTTAATCATTTTCGTAACGCCGTTACATGTAACTAGTTACTCCCCAACACTGGACACTACACTGGTGACCTTAAGCCTGAGACTGCGCTAGTTCTCACATATCAGTCCTCATGTTCAGATCTGCCATGCTGACCATGCAGAGTGTGCAAACTCTCATTGCTGCATTAATGTGGCACATTTGAATGGCAGAGGGCCTGATTTTCAGTGAATAATAAATAATTCAGAGCATAAAGGTTAGTCTGTTTCTTACACACAACAAAATACAACTTGAAATACAGTGCTTGACTGTTATGATACCTGTATGAGCTTTTGGAGCTTGATGGTCACATGATGGGTTTAAAGTCATATGGGTGAGGGAATGATGACAGTACTTTCAGTTTTTGTGGTAAACGGTTCCTTAAATATTGTTCCTGCAGTGCAGTATTGTTTTTTATTTATTTAATTATTTTCATATTTATTTATATAATTAATAATTGTTTATACAATGCTCATTGTTCATAAAAACAATGAAAATGTTGTTTGACGCAAAATGTAACAGCGAAAAGAAAGAAAAATGTGTTGTTTTTCACGTTTTTCAATAAAAATGTTTAACGTAACCTCATCTTTGATGTTTTGTCTCCTTAATGTTACACTGCTTCTGTATTTCACTTTTATAGCAACTTACACAAAAGCATCTGCTAAACACTTACTGTACATGATGTACATGTTTTTCAAAATGAAGCAGCAGCATCATACCGATCGATGATCAGATTATTAGGGGTACAAACGTCTTTGAAAAGGAAGTGTGGAGAAAATACGGCAAAAGACACAGCTCTGTTTCGGGGGGTAAACATTATCACTCAGCCTTTTCATTGAAAGCATGTTTACCACAATGCCTTGGTTCCTTTTTCTGATGCAGTGTGTGTTGTGCGTGTGTGTTAAGGTTTGTGTGGATCTGTGTTGCACAATGTCCAAGTTTGAGACAAGTGGTACTTGCTAAGAAACATTTCTGTGTGTGTGTGTGTCTGTTAAATACATCCTTCCTGTAAAGTACACTGATGTTTAGGTCAGATGTGTGTTTCTCAGTCATGAGTATTATTGCAAACATCATGATTGAATGCATGGACACACTGCTGCTGTCAGATCTGTGAGAACCACACACTCACACACACACGCCCTGCGAGGGCGAGAAACGCAGTGTTAAGGAGGAAATGAGTTTGTCATGAAGAAATGAACAGGAAGATGTTTGTCACACAGACGAGCAGCAGCAGGATGGAGGCGCTCGGCTTGATTCTCTTCATGTGGGGTAAGAGATGCCCTCAAACATTCACACGGCTCAGAAATACATCAGTTTGCTCATTTGCATTGTAGTTTTTGCATTAGTTTGTAGTCATTATAATTAGTTTTTTATAAAACAACTAAGGCTGATGTGTTCATTTAGATCAGTGTGTGTGTGTGTGTGTTTGTGTGTGTGTGTGTGTGTGTGTGAGAGAGTGTGTGTGTGTGTGAGATCAAGAGGGGAGGGAAAGAGAGACTTACATTCCAAATTTACATTAATATTTACATTAAGTTGAGTGATGGAGCTCAGCGCTGTGTGTGTGTGTGTATGTGTTGGGAACAGGGTGTGGTGGTTTGGTGGCTTTATATGTGACAGGAACTCACTCTCTCACACACACACACACACACACACACACACGCACACACACACACTGCTCTTCTCTTGATGTTGCAGCATGTTGATGGTTGTGATTGTTTCATTAGTTTAATGTCAGGCTGCAGATGAATGATGCTGATGTCTGTCTGTGCACATGTTTAGGTAGAAACACACACACACACAGACTGAATCTCCAGAACCAGAATGAATGTCTAGGCTGTTTTTTTCTGGTCTGCTGCTGGTTGAATCCTGATGGACACCAGCTTCAGACACTTGATTTAGTTTCAGCATCTTATGAAACTCTGACAAACAGGAAGAGAAACCAGAAAGAATCATTTAGAAAGACTGAATTCTCACAAGTGTCTCCTGACGTCTCAGCAGTGTCTCTCGCTTCTCCAGCGTCTCTTTCAGAGGCCTTCAACATCGACACCGAACATCCACTGAGATGTAACGGCACGCCAGAAGATTTCTTTGGTTACAACATTTATCAGACTGAGTTTGGAAACCGGAAACAGTGAGTCACACACACACACACACACACACACACACACACACACACACACACACACACACACACACACACACACCTCTCACACAAACCAAGACTTAAGTTTAACAATCTCAGACTTCAATAGTTCTGACGAGTCTCTCACACAAACCAAGACTTAAGTTTAACAATCTCAGACTTCAATAGTTCTGACGAGTCTCTCACACAAACCAAGACTTAAGTTTAACAATCTCAGACTTCAATAGTTCTGACGAGTCTCTCACACAAACCAAGACTTAAGTTTAACAATCTCAGACTTCAATAGTTCTGACGAGTCTCTCACACAAACCAAGACTTAAGTTTAACAATCTCAGACTTCAATAGTTCTGACGAGTCTCTCACACAAACCAAGACTTAAGTTTAACAATCTCAGACTTCAATAGTTCTGACGAGTCTCTCACACAAACCAAGACTTAAGTTTAACAATCTCAGACTTCAATAGTTCTGACGAGTCTCTCACACAAACCAAGACTTAAGTTTAACAATCTCAGACTTCAATAGTTCTGACGAGTCTCTCACACAAACCAAGACTTAAGTTTAACAATCTCAGACTTCAATAGTTCTGACGAGTCTCTCACACAAACCAAGACTTAAGTTTAACAATCTCAGACTTCAATAGTTCTGACGAGTCTCTCACACAAACCAAGACTTAAGTTTAACAATCTCAGACTTCAATAGTTCTGACGAGTCTCTCACACAAACCAAGACTTAAGTTTAACAATCTCAGACTTCAATAGTTCTGACGAGTCTCTCACACAAACCAAGACTTAAGTTTAACAATCTCAGACTTCAATAGTTCTGACGAGTCTCTCACACAAACCAAGACTTAAGTTTAACAATCTCAGACTTCAATAGTTCTGACGAGTCTCTCACACAAACCAAGACTTAAGTTTAACAATCTCAGACTTCAATAGTTCTGACGAGTCTCTCACACAAACCAAGACTTAAGTTTAACAATCTCAGACTTCAATAGTTCTGACGAGTCTCTCACACAAACCAAGACTTAAGTTTAACAATCTCAGACTTCAATAGTTCTGACGAGTCTCTCACACAAACCAAGACTTAAGTTTAACAATCTCAGACTTCAATAGTTCTGACGAGTCTCTCACACAAACCAAGACTTAAGTTTAACAATCTCAGACTTCAATAGTTCTGACGAGTCTCTCACACAAACCAAGACTTAAGTTTAACAATCTCAGACTTCAATAGTTCTGACGAGTCTCTCACACAAACCAAGACTTAAGTTTAACAATCTCAGACTTCAATAGTTCTGACGAGTCTCTCACACAAACCAAGACTTAAGTTTAACAATCTCAGACTTCAATAGTTCTGACGAGTCTCTCACACAAACCAAGACTTAAGTTTAACAATCTCAGACTTCAATAGTTCTGACGAGTCTCTCACACAAACCAAGACTTAAGTTTAACAATCTCAGACTTCAATAGTTCTGACGAGTCTCTCACACAAACCAAGACTTAAGTTTAACAATCTCAGACTTCAATAGTTCTGACGAGTCTCTCACACAAACCAAGACTTAAGTTTAACAATCTCAGACTTCAATAGTTCTGACGAGTCTCTCACACAAACCAAGACTTAAGTTTAACAATCTCAGACTTCAATAGTTCTGACGAGTCTCTCACACAAACCAAGACTTAAGTTTAACAATCTCAGACTTCAATAGTTCTGACGAGTCTCTCACACAAACCAAGACTTAAGTTTAACAGTTTCAGACTTCAATAGTACTGATGAGTCTCTCACACAAACCAAGACTTCTAGGACTTGATGCAGTTTAACAATCTCAGACTTGATTCATTTCATTTCATTTGTAGGTATATTTATTGACAAATCAGTTAAAGATTAAAGACATGATGTTATGTTATATACTTATATAACAAATATGGATTTGATTTGATTGCTAAAGTAACAGCAGAGTTTGTGTATCTTGTGGTGTTTCTGCAGAATGCACCAAGAGAGAAGTCAATCTGGTGTTTCTCTTTGATGGATCCGCCAGTATGAAAACACACGAGTTTGACATGAACAAAAACTTCATTAAAGATGTTATGAAAAAACTTTCAAACTCATCCATAAAGGTGAAACAATCCACCAGCTATATAAATGTGGAAATATTGAACGTGAAAATCAGTGTGTAAAAGTGTACAGTACAAACACTGTACTGTGTAACATGGCATCTAATGATGATAATGTTGTTTGTTGTCTTTCTGTGTGTCAGTTTGCTGCTGTCCAGTTTTCATCAGAAATACGAACTGTGTTTGACTTCAATGATTATCAGAAGGGCTCCGCTGAAGAGAAACTCATGAAAGAGAAACACATGAAAAGTCTCACAAACACATATCGAGCAATCAACTATGTTCTGTGAGTGAAACTCTCTTATGATTATGAACTATCACTGAATTTACACTTTAAGAGAAAAAGACAATAAATGAAAATGGATGAAAATTAGATATGGTTCATGCTGTAGTTTTTCTGGACTTTTAAACGCACAGTTGCCAAAGTTGGACTTTTGTTTTTCTATAAATTAGAAGTTAACAACATATTGGTCTAGAAACACATTTATGCTGAGACTGAAAGCTGTTAATTTATGATCTGTTATATTATCAGAAAGAATCTGCTGAATAACGCGTCGTCTGGAGCCAATCTCAACGCTCAGAAAGCTCTGGTGATCATCACAGATGGAGAACCCACTGAATCTGATGATAATAATGTCCTCAACAGATGTGAAAAGCAAAATATCCTCCGTTACATCATCGGGGTGAGTTTCCTTAAAGCTCTGGCATGTGATTTACATTGTATGTTCAGATAGTTTAGTGATTTAGTGTCACTAGTCCTGCAGAAATGACACACTGCACACTGTTGTTCAGGTGGGAACGGTTAGTTTAAGCACACTCAGTCAGCTGGCATCAGAACCAAAACACAACAACACCTTCTACATTCATAACTACAGTGGACTCAAAGGACTTCTTGACAACCTGCAAAAAAAGATCTACAACATTGAAGGTAAAATGCAAACATGAGGAAAATGGTATAAATGCTGCAGAATCCACTGACAATTTTTTTTCCTTCTGTGTTTCAGGGTCAAAGGAAGCTCACGGCAGAGACAGACAGAAAGAGCTATCACAGAGTGGATTCAGTGTCGTCTACCAGGAGGTAAGAGAAATCCATGTAATTCCATCAAATTAGTTTATGTTGTTTGTGTGATATATTCAAAGTCTTCTGAAGTCATTTGAAAATCTTCCCGTCTCAAAATCTAATGAAATGCTGCTGATGTTTAGATTCATGGTAACATGAATGAATTTAATTGTTTAATGAAGGACATTTTGTTTATGATACAATCCAATTATCAATGCTGGGTTGCCACTTGATGTAAAACCTGGGTCCTGAAGTAAAACCAGAGCACCACTGTTCTGGTTTATTTGCTGCTAAACATCAGAAACTCTGAACATCTTTCAAAGATTCAATGTCACTGCCAGCTGTTTCTCAGCTGATCAGCAGGGCAGTTTTTACCGCTCTCCATTACTGTGTCTAATAAAGCAATGCTGAGACTGCAGTGTTTGTTGCAGGACTCTGTGATCGTGGGTTCGGTCGGATCAAATGACTGGCGTGGAGCTCTGTATGAAGTGACGGGATCAGGATCTGAATTCAGACAGACAGAGATCATCGATCCAGCTGTAAATAAAGACTCGTACATGGGTATGTTGGAGTGTTTGTTCTTGTGTGATGTGAAGAGTTTGTGTCTGTTTTAATCATGCTGATGGTGTTCAGGTTACTCTACTGTGCTGGGAATGAGACGTGGCGTCTCTCTTCTGTTCTCTGGGGCGCCGCGGGCCGAACACACGGGTCTGGTGACCCTCTTCACCAAGAGCCAAAACACATGGACAGTGACGAGAAACATCAATGGAGAACAAGTCAGTGAAAAACCCTCAGACACAATATTATCTCTCTCCACCGGTGAGACCAGGGGCTCCCAAACCTACAGTCCACCAAGAAGATCAGCAGACTCCTTCAAACACACACACTCTTATGAGATTCAGTATTTCACCAAAAACAAACAAACAAGCATTCTACTCACAATATAGACTCTGCAATGCCATATCCAACAGAGAAAAGGAGCAAACTAAGTCTACAAAGACTTAATTTCTAGTCAGTATTGGGTGTCATTGTGTTTGTGACGCAGAATGTGTTGTTTTCATATTTCATCTGTGAACATCAGGCTATAAAAGCATGTGCTAGAATGTAATTCCATTAATTTTTATTGATTTCTGTCATCAGATTGGCTCATATTTCGGAGCGTCTCTGAGTCTGTTGGATGTGGACTCTGATGGAGACTCAGATTTCCTGCTGGTCGGAGCACCATTATTTTACCAGTTTCAGCCGAGGGCTGAAGGGAGGCTGTACGTCTACGCTTTATCAGAGCAGGTACGCACAGATTCATAATTCTCTGAGCAGCTGTTCAGTTTAGGGATAGGGGAAAATGAATCCCCTTACTATACACTGTAAAAAAAAATCTGTAAAATTTACATTCTGTAAAAAAACTGGCTGTGGTTGCCAGAATTTTACCACAAAAAATATGGTGGCAACATTTTAGGTTTTACAGATCTAATTTAAATTTACATTTAAAACTGTATTTCATTAACTGATATAATGTTAATATACCATACTATTGAAGTACTTAAATCAGTTTTGTAGCTTTGTAATACACTGATAGCCACCAAATGCTGGTGGTGAGGAGAAAGTCACATGATGAAGCAAAACTCATCACAAGCAGCCTTTCCACAAGTTGAGACGGACAACACTAACATATATAGGAGGTACACAATGTCATTCACACAAACACTAAACACCATCATGGTAACACACATGAAAATGAAATAATGCAATAAACATTAATTTAACATTGGATGTAACATACCACCCTATTTTACATAACTGGTAAGAAAAAAATAAGGAGAAACAGTTATTTCAACGAAAAAACAAAAAAAAAAACATCAAATGTGACGCAGGGAGTTCTGGGAATGTCAATTTACGTTTTTTCACTGTAAATTATACATTCCTTGCCACTTCCAAAAACTGTATGTAATTGTAAAATTACACATAATGTCCAATACAGTTTTTCAGCGGAACTTACTGTTAACCAATTAATAAGTTTTTACTGTAGCATTTTTACATTCTTTTGCCGTTAAAATGACGGTCATTTTTTACAGTGTACTGGTAAAGATTAAAAGCTTCAGAGCATCGACAACAGCGATACTGGCTTTTTTACCATCTGTTAGCTGGATAAATTTACAACAGCCATAAAGCCTGGAAATATAGTGCATATTTTATCAACTAAAAATGTTCCTGAATGGAGAAACTTTTTTGTTTTTCTAGCAGATGTAATTTGTCAAAGTAGTATGTAAGCTTTTGCAAAATGTTCCTTCCCCCTCATTAAACACCAACACCAAAACACACACACACACACAAATCAATCAAAAGTCCAAGAAACAATGCAAGCCTCGATATGAGGCTTCATTGGAAATTGAACTACATACTCAATACATGCATTGGAGCTTCTCAATCATAACTCAGATTCGATTATGATGATGTTCTCAGTACAAACATATGTGACTAAGATTTTTGCCTGGAAGGCTGCTAGTCGTCACCATTGCATCACTTAATTGGGATTGCCTTTGTAATAGGTTCCCAGTGCCATTCCGTTGCGTGAAATTTGTGCTGGTGCTTCATGTGCCAATAAAGATTCTGTTTAAACTTTCTCTCTCTGTAGTATTTTCAGAAGACTCTGAATGTGAGTGAATCAACCACAGGTAGATTTGCTGCATCTTTGGCTTCACTAAAGGACCTGAATGGAGACAGTCTGTCAGATGTGGCGGTCGGGGCGCCGCTGGAGAATGAAGGAGTCGTCTACATCTACCTGGGCCACAGGAGGCATGGCATAAACCCTGAACACGCTCCTCAGCTGAGAGTTTGCTGTGCTTCCATCAATCCCAAACATTGTGTTTGTGCTCACATTTAAGACCGAATATAGGGGCTTTTGCACCACAGAGTCCAGGAGTTTAAGGAATGAGCCAGCAGGGTGGTTCCTAGAGAACCAATTTTGGGCAGTTTTCCTGGTTGCATTCGCACCGGCAGCAGGAACTCTGAAGCGGCCAACAGCAACGTCTTTATTTGCGGCATTTATAAACGTCAACAGCTGGTGAGTGGAGGACGCCATGTTCGGAGCTGCTTTTGTTGTGTGTCGTAGGTTTCGTGATAACGGAGATGAAATGTAAACACACAATTTACACGATTGAAAGAGCATGAAAATCGTCTCAGGTTACTTATGTAACCATGGTTCTCTGAGTAGGGAACGAGACACTGCGTCCTCTAGGGGTCGCTATGGGGAACGCCTCGTCGTGACCCGTGTCTGAAGCTGCTAGAATGTAATTCCATTAATTTTTATTGATTTCTGTCATCAGATTGGCTCATATTTCGGAGCATCTCTGAGTCTGTTGGATGTGGACTCTGATGGAGACTCAGATTTCCTGCTGGTCGGAGCTCCATTATTTTACCAGTTTCAGCCGAGGGCTGAAGGGAGGCTGTACGTCTACGCTTTATCAGAGCAGGTACGCACTGATTCACCACTGTTATCATGACTCTTCATGAACAAGCCTCAGGGTAACTGTGACTGGAAGGCTGCTAGTCATCACCATTGTGTTACTCCATTGGAATTGCTGTTGTAATAGGTTCCCATGTCGTGAAAGTCGTGGAAATGGTTGTGGTGCTGGTCATGTGCCGATGAATAAAGATTATGTTTTCATCTCTTTCCCTCTCCATAGTATTTTCAGAAGACGCTGCACTCAACCACAGGCAGATTTGCTGCGTCTGTGGCTTCACTAAAGGACCTGAATGGAGACAGTCTGTCAGATGTGGCGGTCGGGGCGCCTCTGGAGAATGGTCTGTCAGATGTGGCGGTCGGGGCGCCTCTGGAGAATGAAGGAGTCGTCTACATCTACCTGGGCCATAGGGCGCATGGCATAAACCCTGAACACGCTCCTCAGGTGAGAGTTTGCTGTGCTTCCCTCAAACCAAAACTCTGTGTTTGTGCTCACATTTAACCCAGAATATGTTCCCAGATAAACAGACAGACACAATGCTGAGCCGCTGTGACACAGTATATCTGTTTGTGTGTGTTTAGCGGATCCCAGCACGATCAGTTCTGCCCGGTCTGCAGCAGTTCGGAGTGTCTCTGTCCGGTCAGATGGACATGAACGATGATAATCTGACAGATATCGTGATCGGAGCACAAGGAGGGATTGTCCTGCTCAAGTACGTCATTCTTTAGTTTGTAGAATAAAATATATTAGGTGTCAAACTGCAGAATTTATCACATTATTAGTAAGCAACCTCTTTACCACATCAGTGATCTAGCTGATTAGTCTCATTGTCCAGTATTTAGAGCTACTGACTCTTTTCTATCTTCTCAGGGCTCGGCCTGTGATGTCTGTATCTGCGCAGCTCAGTTTCAGTCCAAAGGAAATCAGTCTGAACTACTTTGAATGTCCGAGTGACAACACATTTAACGCATTTGATCTCACGTCATGTTTCACAGTGAACGAGCGCACCAGTAGCACAGGTAATGTCAATAAAGTTTCAGAGTGTCTGTCGGTGCCAATAGCCTTGTGGGCAGTGTGCCGACATACACATGTGCTTCGGGCGTCCCGAGTTTGAATCCCAACTCGAGGACCTTTCCCTAATCGCATCCACCCTCTCCCACTTTGCTTCCTGTCAGTTTTGATCTGTCCTATCGTAACAAAAGGCGAAAATGCCAAAAATAAATCTTTAAATGAAGTTTCAGATAGTCCCTCTGTCACATGAAGAAAACAGCCTCCATGTCTTACCCTCTCATGTCTCTCAGGATCTCTTGAGAAGAAGCTGAATGTTTCTCTGAATCTGAATGTGGATGTGGTACGAAAAATGAATCGAGGATTCTTCGATCAGAGGAATGTGTCGTCCAGGACTCTACAGAATTACGTCCTGCTGGATTCTGGGTCCTCCTGTTTCAGCTTCTCCATCTTCATGCTGGTACGTGTCGTCTATCACAGCTTCAGCCAACCTCAGAGCTTCGGTCTGACGGTGAACGTTGTGTTTGTTTCAGCGCTGTGTTGCAGACACAGTCTCTCCTCTGAAGATAAGAATGAATTTCTCACAAACTGATATGTTGTCTGGAAACTCTACAGCTGTTCTTGATGTTCACAGCAGGATGGAGGAGTATGTCGAGGTGAGTCTACAAAAATCAGATTTTACTCTGATATTCAGCGTCAGTCAACTCTTAAGTATCTAAGATTCTTCAGCTTCACTGTATGAAGTTTGTGCGACATTCAAAAGCTCAGTAAAAGTTTTTCTTTTGTTTGCGACTAGGTGCCTTTTCAAAGGAACTGTAATTCAAACAACAGCTGTGTGGCCGATCTGAAGCTGAACTTCAGTTTTACGTGAGAAACAACTGATAAATAGACATGATATTAATCTGAAATATGATTGTTAATCTTTTGAATATTGCCATTATTCATCAGGTTTTTTATTAAAATGAGGTTTGTTCTGCAGGAACGACACGTTAGTGGTGGTGAATCAAGCTCATTTCAGCATCCTCGTATCGCTGGCAAACCCAGGCGATGACTCCTTCAACACCAGCATAGTGCTGCATTACCCAGAAGGCCTCTCACTCTCAAAATTTGATGCCATTAAGGTACTGCTGTCTGCATGTCAAACTAAAGAGTGTCAAAAACTTAAAATAAAAACCCTCCTCAAAATGTTTTTTCAAAATGGTCTCTTATCAGACAACACAATTAACTAGATTTCAATCTGCTGCTTTAATAATAACTCTGTTCACTTCTTAATAGATGTCAAGTCACCTTTTTTTATCTAGCACTTTTAACATTACAGAGTGTCAAAGCAGCTTTACAATATTAAATAGGAATGGTTTAGTGGTTTAGCACCTCAGTACTTGAGCGATTATAGTCCTTCCATCTTCAGAAATGTACATGTGAATTAAAACCTGTATCCACTACAAAAAAGGGTTTTCATTTTATTTCCAGTAAAACCTATTAAACAGAGCTGTGTGTCATTTAGAATTGAACTGAGCATGCTTTTTAAATTCCAGTTCAGTTCCTGAATTAGAGTTTTGGCATCAAACATGAGATTTGCAGAAATGCAGAATTGCAATTCAAATTTGAATGTAAGGAAGTTAAATTAAAATGAACTAAAATGCAAATAAATGAACATGACTATTTTAACTAAAAAGGTAATGTTGGATTAAATGTTTTATTTGTTTCTTTTTTTTAAATTTGGAAGTTTTTTGTAAAGTTCAAAATAGATGGATGGATAGGTTTGCTTCAATTGTAGACAACTGTGTATAGCTTATATATTTCATCATATTTTCTAACTTGTGGACCAGGTTAGAAGAACAATACATTTTTGTTGATTTCTTTCATTAAAATTCCTATTCCTGTCATTCTGATTCATCTTCCTATGGGGCATGGCTATGAACTGAAAGGGAGCCAATTCTTCAATTCTAAGTTTTGTGTGTGCGTGTGTGTGTGTGTGTGTGTGTGTGTGTGTGTGTGTTACAAACAGCCGAGTCGGACTCGAAGCAGCTGTGGTGATCGGGACAGCGGTGCTACGAACAGAACAACCTGCAGCATCAATACACACACACACACAGACACACAAACAGACAGACAGACAAACTTTGTTTCTTCACTTTTTAGTTACTTCATATTTTATCAAGATATCAGATGTACTTTTATTTGAACAGTTGATAAACAGTCTATACACATGTGACTTAAAACCAAGAATCATTCTGTTCTTCAGATAGTGATAATAAAACACAGACAGTATTCGAGTGTCTGCATTTGACAGACACAAAGTCAGGTTCTTCATTTAGAATTCAAGGTTTTCATTCTGTCAGTTGAATTATTCCCTTGGCATTGCTACCAACATCTTTCTACTATTTCTACTTTCTATGGACTCTATTGTTTTCTAGACTCAGTTTCTGGGAACTTTCCGTGTGACGAAATGGGATCACGACTGGTCTGACAGGATGGAGATGATGATCACTGCCAACAGGTGAATAAGGCTGAAAGGGCGACAGATTCATTTGTTTTCATTTGAGCAAAGACAATAACAAATATAGCTGCAAGCAGCAATGACCAGGGTTCAAGCACATAAAGGCATTTAAATTTAAGGTGGTCTATTTTGGGGTCTAGGCCAACCTGGATGTATGGCTGACAGTAAAACACATCCAAAATGTAGAATAGGCTCACAGACACACACACACACACTGAAATGAAATGATTATACTAGTTTATTAATACTCAATAAGCATACTTAAACACACAGAGACAGACAGACATACACAGACATACATGCACACACATTTTGTTGCAGATATAGATATTTGAAATAAATGATAGGTGACAAAACTTATTGCAAGGTTTCTCTTTTTAAGAGTTTACATGTCATTTTCAGGTTTCACTGTAATCATAATCTGGCATAATTGTAAAAACTGATATGTCTGTATGAACAAAATGGTAAACTTTGACTCAATGTGATTTTAAATGTTATAACAGTGATTTTATAATGTCTAGCATGAATCCATAACCTAACCTATGAACAGTACTGTTTTAGGGCATTTACAGTTTTTGCCTATTGCTTACACACGTTTTGCTAAATGTGGCTCATTGTGTCAAAACTCTACACACAAGCAAATAACACACAACACTGGGAAATAAACCATTCACATCTATGTCAAATTGAAACTCTGCTATCAAAACCTGTGGTTTGATCGAGATTGAGAAAAAAACCTAGGACCAGTTCGTAAAAGTAGGTTTTTAACATATTTGTAAATATTTAATGAATGATTTGATTGACAGCAGTAGTCCCAGAGGCAAAGTTGTTCAGAATACGGAGATCTATCATATGATATGAAGGTCTAGTGTCTGTGTGAATATATGAACATGTTCTACAGTTTGAGCTCATTTACTACAGAAATACTGTGTTTTTGAGACCGTTTTAACTGTTATAGCGCCACCTATGGTCCAATCTCTATTAAACTTTGCATGCTTGTTAAGTGTCTTCTGTCACATGTTCTCACCAAGTTTCGTAAAGTTTTGAGTTTTCGTTTAGGTTTTATAGGCTTTTGGGTATATTTGGCCATGCCCCTTTTCTAAATTACCCCATTATAGCTAACCAAAGGACAAAATTATTATTTTTTTTTGATAATTATTGATCTAGAGAGTCCAGAGAATATTACTGCAGTGGTTTGATCGAGATTGAGCATTGAGTCTGCTACAAACTCTAGGTCTAGGAGTTATGAGCGTTTTCGCATTTTCAATCACTGTAGTGCCCCCTATTGGTCGACTGGGTGAGTCTTTTCCAGTCTCTCCTCAAATTGAGACCTACCATCTGGCCAAGTTTCAAGTCTCTAGGCCTTACGGTTTTGTCTGTTTAATGTTTTACAGGAGTATAATAATACTAATCCTTACAATTACAATAGGGTTTCAGCACTGCGTGCTTGAACCCCTAAATATTGCTGCAAGCAGCGATTACCAGGGTTCAAGCGTTTTAAGACCTTTGAGCCATTATAGACATTTTAAGATGATTTTACCCCAAAAGGCTAAAAAATAGTATAGAAAAATCACTAGAAACATTCTTTAATGATTTATCTTTACTTTTGACCAATAGGTGGCGCTACTCCCAAATTAATGTGGTGTGGTTAATTAGGGTGATGATGACACACACATAGTTTGGTGCCAATATGCCAGTGAATTCCAGAGAAACAGCCTTAGCTCCATTTTGGCATTTTTCATATCTCCTGACCACTAGGTGGCACTGTGCTGAAATTGTACAGGTAACCTCAGGACATGATTGTCATTACAAATGTCAAGTTTGGTCTGATACGATAAAGCTTTGAGGAGATATAGCCTCATGTCCACTTTGGCGAGCTCGCTGTGAAATTCATACGTGCGTTATTTGAGAATGGTTAGGTCTATCAAAAAGCTTTTGATAACGTTTTGTTTTGTAACTTTTTTTATTAATATTGGTGAAAATCAGCCATGTTTGTAAGCCATGTTTTTTGAGATACACCAGTGCCCTCATAGATATGGATGGCACATTGGACAAAGACACTGCATGACAAATTTTAAGTCATTCAGGCTAATGGGTGTGTAGTTAAAGCCATTTTAAAGTTTTTTTTTCCTGTTATAGCACCACCAAGTGGTCAAACTCCCCAATTTTTGTAATTTGACCAAAGATTGAGCTCATTCATATGTGTTCCAAGTTTGGTGAAGGTGCATCATTCCATTCAAGAGTTGTAGCCATTTCAGTGTTTTTGCGTCTTGTCCCGACTGACAATGGAACTTCAACTTGGTTTTGACAACTTTTGCTAATAAGACTGCAGAGAACTTTTTTGCCCTGTTTTTGTTCCGATTGGGTGAAAAACGTAGGACTAGTTCGCAAAAGTCTGTTTTGCGGAAAAATTCAAAATGGCGGAAAAAGTTTCATGACATAAATGAAATCGAACAGCCATTTTGTTCATCTTGAGCCAAGGATTCAAATGATACCATTGAGTCTGCTACAAACTCTAGGTCTAGGAGTTATGAGCGTTTTCGCATTTTCAATCACTGTAGTGCCCCCTATTGGTCGACTGGGTGAGTCTTTTCCAGTCTCTCCTCAAATTGAGACCTACCATCTGGCCAAGTTTCAAGTCTCTAGGCCTTACGGTTTTGTCTGTTTAATGTTTTACAGGAGTATAATAATACTAATCCTTACAATTACAATAGGGTTTCAGTGCTTCACGCTTGAACCCCTAATAATCAGCAATCTGGGCTTCTGATCCATGTTGTGAAGGTTAAGATGAATGACTTTACTGCATTTCATGTTCATCTGTGAGTAAATTCTGTATGTTTGTTCACAGTGATAACAATGGAAACATGAGTGATACGGTGGTGAGGAGGAGCGTCCCGGTGCAGTTCGCCGTTAATCTGGCGATCAGTCTGTGAGTCACATTTATTGAACTCTTCTGTTCTTCTGTTTCAGTTTGATCTGCTCTTCATCTCTGAATGATTGAAACTAAAACCTAACACCATGCCTACACCTGACGCGAGTGGCACGTTTGACGCGTTCAGTGTAGACACCCTCATGGACATGTCTGGTGTAAATGTCTAGCTATGTTCATTCTTTTACTAACTAACTAACTAACTAACTAACTAACTCTCTTGTAGTTTATGTTTTAATGGCTTTATTGATGACAAAAACAGCACTGCATTGGTTTCATCAGCAGTTATAGCTACAGTATGATCAATCTAAGACAATAATATAATTAAAAAAAATAAATAAATAAAACTATTACTAAACCATTTGTTACTGGTTGTCAGAGCGTCTGAAAACTCTGTGACGTATCTGAACTTCTCTCTGGAGGACAGAGGTCCAAAACCTCTCAACATCATCTACAAGGTCAGAGAGTCAAACAAGCATCTGAAGTTTCAGCATTTATTTCATGGTACATTACAATAATCAATCTGTCAACTAGAGTGCAGATGTGACACAAGGTGGTTCAGAGGGATCATATTGCTATGTACCTGTGTGTCTGTATGTCTGTGTGTTTGCAGGTGGAGAATATGGGTGTTAAAGGTCTGCCGTTGTCAGTCACGCTCACCCTGCCCTGTCAAACTACACATGTGATTTTAACAGCTCACAACTTCAGCATGCAGGAGGTGCATCACTTGTTCATCAGCTCATACCATCAAATCATCATGTGCTTGTTGAATTAACATCTTCTGTTCTTCTCTCCAGAACTCAATGCAGTGCAACAAGTCAGATCGACAGGTAAGAGATCATAGAGCCCTTTTACAACTGGTATTAAAATGATGGTTCACCTAACACACATTTTTCTGTCATAATTTATCTCATCCTCATGCTGTTCCAAACCACTGACTAAAACGCATCTCTTAGAATATCTTCTTTTAGGTGAAGCTATTTTCTGAAGAAAGAACCGTTTTAGGGGAATGATCCCTTTAATATCAGATCACATGCAGTCACAGTAAACACGTCTAAAACACATCTCATTCTCCACTTCTGCCCCCTTGATTCTATTGTTTCAGGACGGTCACTGCGGGAAGTTTGAGTGTCCTCAGTTTTATCTGCAGAAAACTTCAACAGTTCACTTCAACCTGACAGCAGACGCAGAGCTCCAGAACATGAAGGAATACGAGAGCGTGAGTGATGAACACACATCTGAACTACAGCACTGCACAATCACAGACACGTGAAACATGCATCCACAGACACACACATGCTGTCATTCATCTGACAAAAGCAGGCTGTTTAAGAGCTATTACGTTTAAAAGCTGATGCTGATCCCAAACGTTTTCTTCTGCTGTAGAAATATTCCTTCTACGAGTTCAGGAGGGATTATGTGTTCAACATCAGCGCTGAGCTCAACTACAACACGAGCCGCTACAACCAGACTTCAACCGGACTGAAGGTGAATCCACATCAGACACGAACCAATGATTAGCTGCTGTTTTATGTTACATTAGCACCAGACAGGTCTGAGATCAACAGGTGTACAATACCTGGAGGTCACTGACATAACCTGCAGTCCATTTCACAGTTTCAGAGCCTTTAAAATGAATCAGACACTGATGAAGCTTCTACTAGAACATAATGAAATATGTAGCATTGGGAAAGCTGATTTTTGCAGCTATAAGCACACACACAGAGATAGACACTGTGTAGCACAAACTGTGTGTGATTATCAGTGTCAGTCTGAATTCACACCACAGACCTGCAGCTCGTGAGCTCTTCTGACAGTATTAGAGAGGCAGACCGTTCTATCACATATTTTAACTAGAAAATATTGCTTCTTCTTTCTGCAGTACAATCCCCACAGATCCCAGGTACCCGCTATCTTATTTCTTCAGTAATTTATTTCTTCATTCATCATTTACATCTTCAGTGTAAATTTGTACATTTTAAAAGTTATTTTATATTTTATTCATTATAAGTATGAAAATGTTACTAGTGCCAGTGGTTGTGATGATTTTCTCAGACTGCAGTGAAGGTGGAGTTTGTCGTTCCTCCCAGTCGAATGCTGATCGTCGGCACTGGTGTAGTGGGCGGGCTCATCTTCCTCATTATCATATTGGTCCTTCTGCTGAAGGTAAGAACCAATCAAGTCACCTTACAGTTGATCTCATCATTCACCTCTCAAATTCTCAATCCAATCTCTGTGTGTGTCTGTGTGTGTGTGTGTAGTGCGGGTTTTTTAAACGAAATCGCCCTGATGAGTTTTTTCAAGACGATGAAAATGTAACTGCAGTTGAAGACTCTCCTCTCATGAACGTGAATGCTAAAGAAAACGGAGTCAGTGAGAACGACAGCACAGAGAAAGAGAACGGAGCGAGAGAGACGAGCCCTAGTCCTGACCCTCCAAACACAGATGAATAAAATCTCACTTTACTCCAACACAACAAAATGAGGTGCAGGAGGGCCCATTTTGGAAGAATCCTGATTCCTTCAGCCATCATATATCTCAACAACAGACATCACTGAGGGTTATCTTAACTGTTTGTTGTTGTTGTTGTTTTTGTATTATGTATGTTATGTTGTGTGTGTCAAACAAGTGCAGTGCTGTGGGAAATAATTTCCCCCTTGGGCACAATAAAGTTAAAGTTAAAGTTAAAGTTAAAGATGTTTGTTTTGAAGGAGCTTAATGGTCTTTTAATGGTCTAGTTGTATGGAGATATGATTTAAGGTTCAGTATGTTTAGTTCAATGATATGCAGCATGTGTAGCTTGTTTATGTCTTGATTCTAGTGACTTAAATTGTAGTTTAGTTATAAGCCAGTTTTATTCTGATATTCACTTATATGGGCATTTTCTATAAAAAAAGTATTGAGTTATTATTGTTTTTATTGATTTTAGTTATAAGTAGATTAAATCTTTATTCTTCTTGATCTATCTTTTTAATCTCAAAGAAAGTTTTCTGTAAGTAACCTTCACACTGAATATTGGTAGTCATTTGAAGAAGAGCAATAAATAATCAATCAATCAGTATAAATAAATCAGTTAACTGATAATAATAATAATAATAATAATAATAATAATAATAATAATAATAATAATAATCAGCCGAGTAGCTGAGTCCTTCTTTAAGAACTGTCTAAAAACACATCGGTAGCACTTTATTTTACAGTCCGTGTACTTCCCTGGTACATACATGGCAAATATCTTGTACCTACAAGCAAATGAGTGGTAACACAATGTACTTTCCTGAAGTGTATGTACATGGTAACAAATAGGAAACACGGTTGTACTTAACAGTCGTACATGCATGGTAATTCTTTTGTACATACAGACAAGTGTGGGTACTTACAGGTTGTGCCCATACATGGTAACTAATTAGATACTTCACTGTACTTACTAATGTATATACATGGTAAATATGTAGTACTTACGGACAAGTGGGTACAAACAGGCACGTCCTTACAGTATCCGTATATGGTAACTAATAAGACACATAACTGTACATACTAATGATATGTACATGGTAAATATGTAGTACTTACGGAAAAATGTGGCATTATGTGGTAACAAACAAGACACACACTGTACTTGGTATTTACGGTATGCTTGGCAAGTCCTAACCTTACCTAATAAAAAGAGGATTATTTTTCAATTGCTTGTGTAGGACTGTTAATGCTTAATTGCTCTCCACAACAGAGCTTACAAAGTTTGAAGAACAGACACTTTAAATCCCACGAGATCCACTTTCCTGCAGAGTTTATCTCTAACCCTAATCAAACACACCTGAGCATGCTAATCACTGTGTTGCGTTTGATAAGGATCACACCGACACAGCGAGTAACATCAACTTATCGTATCTTTTTACTTAACCTCTCTATTCCAGACCCCAGTAAACGAACACATACATTGGTCAGGCATGACAGCATGCTTTCAGCACAATCAAACTCGATGCAGGAGCTATCTGAGGTGTCAGCTGAAGCGCTGGGGGTGTGGCTTGAGGTGTGACGCCTGTTGTATGTGCCACTGTGTGCCGTCGCTGAGCAAGAAGTTAGCTGGGCCCAGCTGATGAGTAACTTGGAGAGGGGCAGACTAATATGAAGTGAGTTTGTTGTCTCCGTGGGGCCTGCGAACCCTGACCCAATCTGCCGCCTTTATGTCAGGGACCTTAACGCGTGCTGAGAAATCTAATTTCTGCTTCATCCTCTTCTGCTGGCGGGTGACAGAGGCCCTGACTCTCGGTAGTGGTCGCTGAGGCACTGCGGGGCTGAGCCTGTCGAGGGGAAGGTTGGAGCTCACGGCCAAGCATGAGGAAAGCTGGAGAGACCCCCATCGTAGAGTGTTGGGTGGCCCTGTAGTGCAGCAGTGTGTGATGGATGGCCCGTGAGAAGGTCCATCCCTGGAACAAGTGTGCTCTGAGACTGTTTTTCAGTGACTGATGGAAGCATTCGACACCACCATTAGCTTGGGGATGATAGTATGCCGTGCGGATGTGATGAATACCTTTGTTTTTGAGGTATGTTGTGAACTCAGCTGAGATCAGCTGCGGGCCATCGTCAGTAGTGATAGTGTTTGGAAGGCCCCAGCAGGAAAACAGAGAGTCCAGGAAGTTAATTATGACCTGAGAGGTCACAGAGCCGGTGGCAATGAGCTCATGCCATTTCGAATGCAGGTCATAGACAACCACTAGGAAGCGTTGATGATGGGTGCACAGGTGGTTCCAGGGCTGCGATGGCCAAGCAAGAGGTTGTAAGGGTGGGGGGGCCTGGTGACCAGTCTTACTGCTCAAGAGACAGGCAGCACAGTCTTTCACCAGGGCCTCAATGTCTTTATCTATCCCTGGCCACCAAACCCAGTCTCTGCAGCGCTGCTTCAACTTTACAATACCCAGGTGGCCCTCGTGAGCCAAGACATGTGCATGTAGGGTGCTAGGGATGACAGAGGCCGCGTGCCACACAGGTGTCATTCCAGCAGGACAGCTGCTGCTTTAGTCTGGAAAATGCTGCCAGCCCCTCTGGTACCTCCTGAGGCCAGCCATTCAGAACATAGACTCAGAGCTGAGAAAGGACCGGGTCCTGTTCCGATGCCTCTTTCAGTTCTTGTAACGATAAGACGGCCTGGAGGGGCACCAGTGTCCAAAAACAGTGGGATACACACATCATTAAGGCGCACTGAACATGCTTTAAATGAGACTGGTCCAGAGTAGACATTGTGAATGATAGTGGGTGCTTGGGCTGACACAGCTGGAGCGGAGCGGCAGACTGAAGCAAAATGATTGCGTTTACCACAGTTGCAGCATGTTTGGCCAGGGGCTGGGCAGTTCTGTGCTCTAGACAGATGAGATGAAGATCCACAGTTATCACAGAGCCCTGATGCTTGTGCTTGTGGGCGTGGCCGAGACGCTGCTGGCACCTCAGTAGCATAACTGCAGAGGAGTCTGCTGCTGCCAATGTGTCATTCTAGCTGGGTTGTTACGTCGATGGTGGCATGGGGGAGGGGGCCGAGCAGTCCGTGATTGTTTGCTGTTTGGTCAGAGCTGACGCACATGCAGCTGCACTCTCTATTCGTAATGCAATCGTGATTGCCCGGGACAGTGATAAATCATCCGGTTCTAACAGCAGAGTTTCACGCACTTTTGCATCTTTGGTATGTTCAATTAACTGGTCGCGAATCATTTCATCCTGCAACGCACCGAACGTGCATGTGCTGGCTACTTACTGTTGCACAGACTCACCGGGAAGCTGGCGTCTTTGGCAGAAACATCAGAAAACGTCGCAAGGGAGCACTCTGTGGGGCTCAGAGTGTGCGGTCAGTAGTTCCACGGCTGTGTCATAATCGCTTGTGGTGCCCGACTCAAGCACTCCCAGCACACGCTGCCCCTCGGCTCCCAAGCAATGCGGTAACAGTGCTTTTTTGTGGGCTGCGGTCACGTCAGTCAGCCCCACTGCCAAGATGAAAGTCTCAAAGGACCGTAACCAGCGAGTCCAGGGAATCGGAGGCTCGCCGGGTAGAACAAGGAAAGGAGCAGGCGGTGGTAGTGCGATATCAGCCATCCTGTCACCAAATGTTTGATAAGGATCACACCGACACAGTGAGTATCATCAACTTATCATATATTTTTACTTAACCTCTCTGTTCCAGACCCCAGAAAACTAACACATACATTGGTCAGGCATGACAGAATCCTTTCAGCACAATCAAACTCGATGCATCACTGAACACTAACTCAATGCATTATCAAACAACACTTGTGTGAGAACACAACACACTGTCTTCAGGATTATTAGAAAATCACAGGTAGGTGAGTTTGATCAGGGTTGGAGCTAAACTCTGCAGCGTAGTGGCCCTACAGGGCAAGATGTGATGAATCCTGCTTAAATCAACGTTTCAAACAAAAACAACAACAACAAAACAATAAAAAAAAACATAAAAACAGATAAAGACAAAAATTAGTCATTGATAATATCTAAACATGTATCCAAATTTCCACCATTTATTATCTTTATATATATATATATACTGTATATATATATATATATATCTACAGAAAGTATGCCTTCTCTCCCTCTCTCTCACACACACACACACACACACATACAGTACAGATAAATGCTCATGCTCACACACAGAAATGTGCTCTGCCCCGAGAATTTACAAATAAAGTAGTTTCGCAACTGAAAAGCTACATGACATTTCTGTAATGATCTCTGGAAAGAAGGACCCAAAAGCAGAAGAATGCTTAACTCCAATTTATTGAAGCTCAATAATAAACACAGTACGAGGCAAACGGCTCCAGACCAGTTCTGGACCAGGAGGAGATGGGAGAATGTAGAGTCAGAGTCTGGGCCAGTTCACCAGCAACCAAATCCAGCAGCCGAAGGACGAGATTCAGGGTCAGACAGGAGAGAGGGTCAGGCGAGGTGCAGACAGATCAAACCAGGCAATCCAAAACTCACAGTCCAGATAACAGCAAGCAGTCCAGAGAGACGAGTAGAACCCCGGGGAATCCAAACTCCAGAGTCAGTAACAATCCATTAGGTCAGCAACACACAGCTGTCCAGGATCACTGATCTGAATCTGATCCAGACGTAGTCTTTTGCAGAAATGCCAGTTCTTCAGCTGTTTGTTCAAAATGTTGCTTTTTTTCATAAACTTACCCACATTCAAGTTTTCAGGATTGTTTTCGTGCTTGTCTGTTTGTGACAATCATGGACATCAGAGAAACTTCTTCACATTACATTATCAAAAAAAAAACAAAGTACAGCCTCTGATTGTGGTTTAATATGTAAACAATAAACCCGCTAGGGTGATTCGTGGTGTCCTGTATAACCATGAAGGAGTTTATTTAGCAAAATTATAATGTCTGTGTGACTGCATCAAGTTATTATATGTTCACTCATCAAATAAATACAGACATTAAATAATAATATGAGTTTAAATTATTTCAGCTGATCTGCATGCAATTTGAATAATTCTGCTAAAAAAGCTTTTAAAAGTTATCTTTAAAAGGCTTTTCAAGTTTAAAAAGATAAGAAAAAGAGAACGAAAGAAAAGTAGTACACACACTCCCTACAGAGGCGAAGCGGAGGGGTTCTGGCACCGACCTGAAGCTCTGAGGAATCTGAGCAATCTCATCACATACAGACCAGCAGCAGCAGAATGGAGACGCACATCTGGATTCTCTTCATGTGGGGTGAGAGATTTCTTTATAAGATACAAATCATCCATTAGTAAGTAACTGTACAAAGTTCCTTGAATTATGTGTGTTGGTCTGAGTCACGAGAAGTTCATGTAAAACAATTTGTGTTCATTTAGATGTGTGTGTGTTTGAAGAATGTTTTCTTACATTTGCATTAGTTGAAGTGGAGCTCAGCTGGTGTGTGTGTTTAAGTTATGTTGTCAATAACTGCATGGTTCGTGTTCTGGAGCCAGGGCTCGTTCTCTTGAGAAAGGAACGGTGTTGTAACGCTGCTGTGTGTTGTTTTCCTGACTGTAATCACAAACACTGCGCGTCCCGGTCTTTGTGCGGGTAATGCGGCACTTCTGTTATTACGCTGTTCACTGCACCG